CCCTTCGGCGAGAAGACGGCGCGGCAATGGTTGAAGTCGCCTTCCAGACGACCTCCATCCAAGAGAAACTCACGCAGCTGGCAAAGTGCGACCTGCGCGGCCTGTCCCGAGACGGGCCGCGTGGAGCAGGGGGCGCCGTCAGGCCCGGCAGCGGCGCTTGCTTTTTGGAGGCAATGAAGCCAAGAAATCGTTCTCCACACCATTTCGAGTCGAATCGTTGACGCGTCGCATTCGTACATTTTTCGGTCGCGCCGCCAATGCGATGGATATAGCTATGCAGAGGATGATCATCAGAAAAGATAATGGGGTCGCTGCTAGACCCCCCCCAACCGCTGGCTCGTCGGGCGGCTGCTTCGCTCGGACCCGCGCGCGCTGCGCCTTCGGGGCCTTTCGCGCCCGCGAGCTTGATGCGCGGGCGCAGGACAGACTGGGCACGAGAGAGCCATCGGACACGTCGCATGGCTTGCGCAGATTCATCCGCCCCCTCCTCCACGTGTCTCAGGATATTCTCCACCCCTCATTGTGCTGGGCTGTCATCAGCTCGGCTAGGCGGGCGCGCGCCATCGCGGCAGGGTTAAGGCGAGTGAGCAGATGCCAATGCCCGTGGAGAGCTCGTCGAGCGCGCCGAGAACTCTGAGTGCGTTCTGCGCGGGCAATATTCAGCGCGCCGGCAGCCTCTTCAGCCCTGGCGACGGCGCCCGCAGTCTCGATGCGACGACGCACCCGAGCGGAGGCAAGATGGAATATAGCCTCGATTTCTTTCACTGTCGGCGGCGGGCGGGGCGGAAGCCCAACATCTTGCGCAAGCTCGATGAACTCTCGGAACTTCGCATGTTTGGTAAACCGCGGAGGAATGCTAGCTGCTCCGCTCGCTGGTGCACGGGGCGGCCGCAGCGCGAAGAATGCGGGCGCGCGGTCGGTGGGCTCGCGCCCCTCCGCAACCTCCCAGATGACTCCAGACAAAGGGCACTGATCGAGTAACGTGGCGGTATTCATGTTAATGCATATTCTCCCGGGTCTAACATAGCTCTGACGACCGCGAACAACTGCTGCGCGAGTAAACGAAGGCCGTTCCACTCCAGAGCAATTCGGGAAGAGGGCATCGAAAGTAGTAGCAAGGCGCGATGCATAGGCGAGGGCGTCGGAGGTGTCGGGAAACATCTAGCTTCACCATGCTCGCGAAAGTTCAAGCCCCCAAGAATCACGCCGGCGCGCTGAGACCGCGGCAGTATCGGACGGGAGAGGGAGGGCAAGACGGGGCGAGCACCCCTTTCTGACCACTCGGGATCTAGATGCACCGCCGATAGCTGGAGAGACCCATTCGGCCCATAACGCCGCGGAGACAACGCGCGACCAATAACGACGTCGACAAAGACGACGCGCGAGAACTTCTCAGCAAGGCTTTTGCGAACCGGGAGAATAATCCCACGGGCGTGCCCACCTTCGACGAATGAGCCGAAGATGCGAAACCTAAGGTAATCACGTTCCAGAGATGCCCCCTTCTTGACCAGGGGTCTCATGTACAGCGATTACATCCATTATCCTAGACAGCCCGGCCAACACTTTGAATTTCTCGCGCGCGTGGAGCAAGGAGGAATGGAGGGAGTGGAAAAGAGCGCGTGCGTTCCACATGCGCACGCGCAGCAACAGAGCAGGCAAAAAGGGTGAGTGGCTGGCAACCGCAGCAGACACTTCGGTGAGCTCATCTGTCCCCGTAGGCGTGCTGGTACCTGAGGGTTCTGACGAAGTCGCAGCAGTTGACTGCGAATCTGAAGAGGGGCGCGCAGCGTCGACGTCGCAGGACCCCATCAGCGCGACGCTCTCACTCCAATCATTGATGTCGATATCCGATGAGTGCGACGGTGGCGCCTCCTGGATGTAGAGCGCCCGCGTGTTGACGTCCGACATGATGGCGCTCGCCTTCTCAGTGTCGACCTGGAAGTGGCTGCGCGTGTCCTGATCGACGTCGAAGGAAGGTGCCAGCTGCGTGGTTGACCTCGTTGAACGATGACAGCGGCCAGACGCCCGCGCCGTTGGCCAGTGGATCGTACCTTTGCAGCCGCTGATGATGGGTTTCGATCCAGCAGATGCGCGTGGGCTGGCGGAGAACAGCTCAATGATCGGGTCCCAGGTCTTGCTCAGCGCGCGCTGCTTCGCGCGGACGTCGAGCGGGAGGTCGGTCCTGGCCCTCGCGACGTGCAGCGATCCGTCACGAGGACCCATCCATTGATTCTGGGGCGCGCTGTGGATATCTGTGAACTCCTTGGCAAGGGCTTCGCTCGAGAAGGTGGGGCTGCGCGACTGGCTGGTGCGGTGAAACTGGGGCGTCGCATTGTTCCGCATGACCGCAGGCATGATCGGACCCTTGAAGCTGGCAAAATGCGCTTGCCTCGTGGATGTCAAAACACGTTGCTTTCGGAGCGGCCGAAACCTTGCCAACCCGAGAGTCACTGGCACCCGTTGTCGAAGCTGCTGAGCTGGACCCACCAGCAGTAGAAGAGGACTGGAGTAGTTGAATGGCACCATGTTGCTCCTTCAGCTGGGCACGCATGGACTGGATGTGCGCCGACTGTGCCGATATCCCCGCTCAGTTCTCGTCGATGCGCTGGTTGACTGCTCCCGTCAGAATGCCGAACTGCTGAGAGAAGTTGGTCTGCATCGTGTTGCATAGCTCCTTGGTCTGTAGTGAGACCGCCTGCTCGAGCGCCGACTGCATCCTCGCGACCAGGGAGTTCATGCCGCCTAAAGCCGAGGCTGAGGGTGTCTGACGATCAGGCGACTGACGGTCCTGAAAAAAAACGGGAACGGTGGGAAATCTGACGCGTGGGAGAACGCTGGCCTCCTGCCGGCCAGAATGCTCGAGTCCTGGCCACGGACGAGGCCAAGACAAACCGCGCCACCCCACATTTAGTCTTGGGCCACAATGGCTACGGAGGAGGAGAGGTAGTAGTAGTAGTAGTAGTAGTAGTAGTAGTAGTAGTAGTAGTAGTAGTAGTAGTAGTAGTAGTAGTAGTAGTAGTAGTAATAGTCGTAGTAGTAGTAGTAGTAGTCGTAGTAGTAGTAGTAGTAGTAGTAGTAGTAGTAGTAGTAGTAGTAGTGGTAGGAGTAGTAGTAGTAGCAGTAGTCGTAGTAGTAGTAGTCGTAGTAGTAGTAGTAGTAGTAGTAGTAGTAGTAGTAGTAGTAGTAGTAGTAGTAGTAGTAGTGGTAATAGTAGCAGTAGTAGTAGTAGCAGTAGTAGTAGTAGTATTAGGAGTAGTCGTCGTAGTGGTAGAAATAGTAGTAGTAGTAGTAGTCGTCGTAGTAGTAGTAGTAGTAGTAGTAGTAGTAGTCGTAGTAGTAGTAGTAGTCGTAGTAGTAGTAGTAGTAGTAGTAGTAGTAGTGGTAGTAGTAGCAGTCAGCAGTAATAGTGTCGTCGTCATCGTCGGTCGTAGTGTAGCCAGGAGTAGTAGTAGCAGTTATTAGGCAGTAGAGTAGTAATAGATTCGAGTAGCAGTATCACTTGTAGCAGTAGTAGTAATGTAGTAGTAGCGTTTGGTTAGGTAGTAGTAGTAGTAGTGGTGGTGGTGGTGGTGGTGGTGGTGGTAGGTAGGCAGACAGGCAGGCAGGCAGGCAGGTAGGTAGGTAGGTAGGTAGGTCGGCAGGTAGGTAGTAGTAGTCGTAGTTTTTGTCGTAGTAGTAGTAGTAGTAGTCGTCGTCGTCGTCGTCGTCGTCGTCGTCGTCGTCGTCGTCGTCGTCGTCGTATTCGTAGTAGTACTCGTTCTAGTAGTAGTAGTAGTAGTAGTAGTAGTAGTAGTAGTAGTAGTAGTAGTAGTAGTACTAGTCGTAGTAGTAGTAGTAGTAGTAGTAGTAGTAGCAGTAGTCGTAGTAGTAGTAGTAGTAGTAGCAGTAGTAGTAGAATTAGTAGTGGTAGTAGTAGTACTAGCAGTAGGGGTAGCAATAGTAGCAGTAGTAGTAGTAGTAGCAGTAGTAGTAGTAGTAGTAGTAGTAGTAGTAGTCGTAGTTGTAGTAGTAGTAGTAGTAGTAGTCGTAGTAGTAGTAGTCGTAGTAGTAGTAGTAGTAGTAGTAGTAGTAGTGAGATTCGTCGTAGCAGTAATAGGAGTAGTAGTAGTAGTAGTAATAATAATAGTAGTAGTAGTGGTAGTAGTAGTAGTAGTAGTAGTAGTGGTCGTAGTCGTAGTAGTAATCGTCGTCGTCGTAGTAGTAGTAGTAGTAGTAGTAATACTAGCAGTTAGTAGTAACTAGTAGTAGTGTAGTAGTAGTGTAGTAGTAGTGGTAGTGGTGGCGGTTGGTTAGTCGTAGTAGTAGTGAGTGTAGTAGTAGTTAGTAGTAGAATGGGAGTAGTGGTTTCGTAGTCCGGTCGCAGTGTCGTAGTCGCAGGGTGGTAGTAGTAGTTAGTAGTAGGAGTTCGTAGCGTCAGTAGTAGTAGAGTAGTAGTAGTAGTTAGTAATCGTAGTAGTAGTAGTAGTAGTAGTAGTAATAGTTAGTAGTAGTTAGTTAGTAGAGTTAGTTAGTTAGTAGGAGTAGTAGTATAGTGTAGTAGTAGTAGTGTTAGTAGTAGTGTTAGTAGTAGTGTCAGTAGTAGTAGTAGTAGTAGTAGTAGTAGTAGTAGTAGTAGTAGTAGTCGTAGTAGCGTAGTCGTAGTCGTAGTCGTAGTCGTAGTCGTAGTCGTAGTAGTAGTAGTAGTAGTAGTAGTAGTAGTAGTAGTAGTAGTAGTAGTAGTAGTAGTAGTAGTAGTAGTAATGGTAGCAGTAGTAGGAATAGTACTGGGAATGCTAGAACGCCGCTGATGAGCATCTATGAGCGCCAAGTACAGATGTGCGCACTAAGAAAACGTGCGCGCACAGTCTACACACACGCACATCAGCAGGAACAGGGCAGGCAAAAGAGCAGGAGGCGGAGCCGAATACAACAACCAGAAACCGCTCACGAGCACCAAACCTTCCCAGAAACTGACAACCCTGCCCCCCCAAACCCCCTCCGAGGGAGGGGTTCCGCCAGGCCTCGGCCAACTCGTTCCACACGCGGTGCATCGGCTCCAGGTCGACCACGACCGCGGCCTCCCCGTCCTCGCGTGCGCGTGTGGCGCTGGGGCCGCCCGAGCGAAGGGGCAGGGTCGGCCCGAATTGAATAAGAAAGCCGTATCAAATCGGAACGTGCGTCGAATCAGGCGCGCCAAGACGCACAACAGCGACGCGCAAACATCGGGCCGTATCGGATCGTCGGAACTTTGGACGCCCGAAGTGGGTACGGAAGAATGAATACGATGCCCAAAGGCAAACGTTGTCCAAAACTAACAGCGGCAGCTGTTGGGCAGGCGGCCTTCTGTCTCACACTGGGCAGCGTCCGTGGCAACACCGACAGCGAGCCATGCTCAAAATGGGCAGGAAGTGCTGTCGGTGTTTGCACCCATGTCTCGGAGAAGAAAAAAACGGCATAAACCATAAACAGAAACTTTTGGCACTCGGCGCGGTTTTCTTGGATCTGCGCGGAGCGCCGCGGAGCGCGCCAGGGGCGGCGCCAGAGGCGCTGCCAGGAAGGCCCAGCGCGGATCCAAAAACTCCGCGCGGACCGCCACATTCTCATATTTACGCCCTGTTTTCTTCGAACTTCGATCGCCCTGAAGGACATCGGAGTCGAGTCGGACTGGGCCGGCTGTGGATCGATGTCGAGTCGCATGGGGTCGAAGTGTAGAGGGCCGAAACACCATCCCCAGAATGACCACCCCGACGCAGAGCCGTTTACTAAACGCCCCCACTGAAGGAATCGAACAGAGCAGGGCTGTTTAGCAAACGCCCAAGGCCGTTTAGTAAACGCCAATTGTCCGGTCCAGGTGGCTTCTCTGCGAGGCGGGGATTTATCCATATCCACCGCCCGGGAACCGACGTATACCGGTGCCCCAGCTGGGCGTTGGATATGGACATACGTCGTCCCCTGGGGGCCCGAATCTGTCCACATCCACCGCCTGCCGAGGCTCCGAAGACGGACCCTCCAGGCGGTGGTCAGGTATAAACTCCCTCCTCGGATGTCCCTCCCCTGAAAAAGGGGCCCCCGGCGGAGGAGGGCCAGCCCGGGCGGGGAGCGGGGACCTCCTCCCGGGGAGGGGCGCACCGAGAGCAGGAGGGGGGAGGGGAGGGGGGGAACGGAGGAGAGGGAGGGGAGGAGGGGGGGGGTGGGAGGAGGCAGGAGAGGGGAGGGGGAACGAGGAGAGGAGGGGAGAGGGGGGAGGGGAGAGGAAGTGGAGAGACGGGGGGGGGACGATGGAGGGGAAGGCGGGGGGGAGAGGAAGCGGAGGAAGAGGGGGGTGGGAAGGGGAAGGGAGGAGGATGGGGGGGGTGGGAGGGACGGGGGAGCGCGGGGGGGGGGGGGGGGGGGGGCCTCCCGCGGGAGGGGGCCTGGAGGGGAAAGGGAACCCGCGCGCGGCCCGCCGGGCCGCGAGGCGCGCCCGCCCCGCGCGCGCGCAGACCGCGCGCAGGCCGCGCCCGGAGGCGCACGGCTCTGCCAGGGCCGCGGGGGCGCGGCGGCGGCAGCACCGACACGGAGCCCACGGGGCGTGACCGCACGGTGCCGGCCGAGGAGCCCGCGCGGCGTGCGCAGGGGCCAGCCAGCGCGACGCCCCTCGGGGGCGGCCCAACAGCCGAGCCGTCCCCGCCGGCCCCGCCACGCCAGCCCCACCAGGCCTGGGAGCAGAAAAGACGGCATAAACAGAATCTGTTTGGCGCTCCGCGCGGATCTCTCGGATCTGCGCTGGGCCCCCCCGCTCTGGCGCGCGGAGCGCGCCAGGGGCGGTGCCGGAGGCGCCGCCAGGGAGGGCCCAGCGCGGATTTTTATGCTTGAAGAGGCCTCGGGGCACACAAGTAAATAGACACACATAATACAGGATTCCCCATATTTTCCCATATTTTCTGGGTTGTCGTCTTCCCCCCCACTTCCCATCTTCTTCCATATTTTCTGGGGAGTCGACGATTGATTGTGTCTGTATGGTTTTTCCCCTCCTGAATGTGAAAGGGGCCGCGGGGGGCCTGGCGCGCGGAGCGCTCAAGGCAGCTCAAAGCTCATGTTCGTGCCGAATTTTTTTGTCTTCGAAGGCCATCCCGCCGCCCGGGTCTGCGACGGTGCGGACGCCGGGACTCCAGCTCCGACAGCGCGCCCACGGCCCCCGGGCCCCCCGACGCCGAGGCTCGCGCCACGAAGACGTCGGCGTCGGTTTCCGACACCGCGTGGACCGTTCAGCACGGAACGGTCGCGGCTCTCCAATGTGGCGCAGATCGCTCGATGTCGGCCGATTTTGGGCAACTGGCCGCGGTTAACCTTGGGTGCCCGCGCTGGTAAGCATTTGCTTGAAATTCTGGGTTTCGACATCTGGCCGAAGGGAGGGGGAGGGGGAGGGGGTCTGGGTCTGGGCGGGTGTTCAGTCGATCTGTTTTTGCCCAATCGCGCAAGCAGACGGTGCGGGAGGGGTGGCCTGACCAGTAGCCAAAAACAGCTGCCAAGAGCACTCAAGATCTGGATTATCATGGTTTTCAAAAAGACGTCCATCTCGAATGCGCGTTGAAGCGGGTCCAACCCCCGGGCCCCCAATTTCAAAGTTCGGGGCGGTGGACGCGGTGGAGTGCGAGTCGTTTCGAAAAAAACAAAAACGTTTGCAAACCGCGGCCTGCTCCTTCAGATGAACATTGAAATTGGAGGCGCGGGGGGCGCTCTTGCGCCGTCCTCTAGGCGTTGTACTCGGGCATTTCTGTTCGAGAACGCCGGCACGGGTGGAGAAGGGGGGGGCCTGGCGCCCTCGCCGATCGGCGAAACAACGGATCAACAAGCAATTACACGGGGTCGCGGCCGTGTCAACGCGGCACGTAATGCCGAGCGCACGTTAGCATGAGCGGATCCGTGGACCTGGGCGGGTCCCAAGAATATACACCACCACCACCACCACCGCCACCGCCACCGCCGCCGCCGCCGCCGCCACCACCGCCACCGCCGCCGCCGCCGCCGCCGCCGCCGCCGCCGCCGCCACCACCACCACCACCACCACGACCACGACCACGACCACGACCACGACCACGACCACGACCACGACCACGACCACGACCACGACC